TTTATGCAAAGGTCTTAATTATACTTCTGTTTATACTTTCATACATTTTTTCCTCCAAAGGTTAAATGTTTAAAGTTCTTCATTATGTCTGGATTAAAAGTGTTTCTATGTAAAGGTGAATCTGTAAGTTCGCAAATTTTTCATTTTGGAAGCTGGTGGCAACAAGCTGGCAGGAAATTTGTGCCTTAGGAAAAGCAAATATATTCTATTTGCTAATGGTCACTAAGCATTTGTAACCAAGGCAAACTCCGAAAGGAACAGTTAGCTGAACTGTAAAGGCAGAACATTCTAAGCCCCTAACCCTTTTTCCCTGCATGCTGAACCCAGTTAACAGAGATCAACTATTACCTGCTTCATCAAAAAGGGATTTGTTCATACTATGTAATTTTTGTAAGTGGCACTGCCTGTTGGCCTGTCTGAGATCTTGTTACTTATTAACTCATTATTTTCTGGGAGTAGGGAAAAGGTGCTTGAATTTCAGAAGTTTGTGTGAGTCGCCCATCCTCCACATTTCCTGCCGGGACACAGGCATTTGTTTTTTGTTTTGCATTTTTTTTTTTTTTTTAATAATGACAGTTTTCAGCAAAGCCAAGATTTTAGTCTCATGCCCTTCAGCATAGAAATTCAATTAACTCAATTTGTCAACAACTCTTTCCTGATCAGAATTTTAGACTTAGTCAAAACTTTGGAAACTTAAGAAGCTTTGTAAACAAAATATGACCACTAGTATACTAGTTTCTGACGTCCAAGGGAAAATGTACCAGAGCCCTCATAATTCCAAATGCCTTGACCAATGTCACAAAGCTAATACTGATTATGGAACCCAGAAGGATGACACTAAAATTCAGGGGCGTTGGCATTCCATTACTGCATTGCTTAATTAAATATACATATGTTAGGGCATGTATAAGATACATGCTGAGGATAAAGAAGAATAAGGAAAGGAATACCCCTGTTTCCACCACCGTTTTAGGAGACAATTCCCAATTCCAGTGAAGCCCTCTGTAAGTTTGTCAAGCTCTGTCCTTGGTTCCCAAGGAGGAAACAATTCTGAACTTTGTGTTAGTCATTTCTCTATCTTTCTTTGTAGTTTTACCACATACATACGTATCCCTAAACAATATAGTGTTGAATTTTGCATGTTTTGGAAATTGTATAAATGGAATTATCCTTTATATAGTGTTCTAGGAATCACTCCTTTTGCTCAATATTATGTTTGTGAGATTCATTCACGTTGCCAAGCTTTCTCTTGCTGATAATCATTTGTGTTCTTTCTAGATTTTAAAAAAATGAGCAATGCCTCTATGAACATTCTAATACATGCTTTCTGGGACTTTTTTTTTAAATTGCTGACACTTATTGAGTGCTTACTTTGTGTCAGGTACTGTTTTAAGAACTTTAAATGTATTGAGTCATCTAAACCTCCTACAGCTCCACGAGGTAGGTACAGTTATTATCCTCATTTCATTGACGAGGAGATTTGGTCCAAAGCAATTGAGTAAATTGACAAGCCCAAGAAGCTTACAGAGCTGGACTTTGAGTACCTTAGCTTCAATAGTCTATCCTTGCAACCAATACACCATACTGATCCTTCCTCAGCCAATCAAACTCTTAATTAGTCAATTTGAAATATTCTAAGGTTTGTTTCCATTTGTCCATATATCCTTTTGTTAGTCAAGGGCTGTCAAAGTCATTTAAAAGCAAAAAGTCAACACATTTAATAGAGATCCAATGTCCCGCACCTCCTGTTGGGGGAGTTAGGATTAAAATCCCCATAATCTTTTTCCTTTTATATCAAAAATCCCAATGTATCTGCACTACAAATCAATTTCAGAATGGAGAAGAATGCACTTGCATGAAAAGAAAAAATGATATGTACATTATTTTAAGAGACCTTTAAGAGCAGTGACTAATTCATATGTTCTACCTAAGTCAGTTCCAGGGACAGGCAAGTGGCTGATGGCATTTATTCCCATTGGTGTTCATCTGTCTCAGAGGCCTGTGCATGAAAACATAAACAGGTGGCATATGTCTTCAGTTGGTGGGAAGCCTCTCAGTACCACCTAATCTAGAGACAGACAGATTGAGAAATCAAAAGAAATCTGCTGGGGAGGGTAAGGGAGAAAATATCTCATTTGCTTGCAGATGTAGCAAAGAGCCAGAGATCCAGTTCTTGGGACACAAACACAACATACAGCACCATCACACAACATAACACACTGTCCCCCCGACCACCGAGGGAGTCTTTCATGTAGCAAGATTGAAAGAACCTTCACGCTGCATCTTTACTGACATGAAGACCAGAAATGAAAGCCAAATGGAAAATCTGTTAAAGATTAAAATTAATAAGACTTAAATTGTATAGCTTCCACAGACAAAGGAGGCTGGAGGAGCATCAGTCCTGCTGAGATGGTAAAAGTAATGGCCTTCACAGCCAAAGTGCCTTCACACCCTGGTGCTGAGGCCCCAGGCTTAGGAGTAGTGGCAGGAACTAAGCACAGGATCCAACTTCAATACGGGAAGATATAATAAATGACCATCTAATAGTCATCCCGACACTCTGGAGAGGTAGTGGTTTTTAGCAAAAGTGGTTTTTAACATTTTTCAGAAGTTCACTTATTTTTTTTTTTTAGACAGAGTCTCACTGTGTTGCCTGGGCTAGAGTGCTGTGGCGTCAGCCTAGCTCACAGCAACCTCAAACTCCTCAGCTCAAGCAATCCTTCATGCGCCACCATGCCCGGCTAATTTTTTTCTATATATTTTTAGTTGGCCAATTACTTTCTTTCTATGTTTAGTAGAGACGGGTCTCCATCTTGCTCAGGCTGGTCTTGAACTCCTGAGCTCAAATGATCCCCCCACCTTGACCTCCCAGAGTGCTAGGATTACAGGTGTGAGCCATGAGGTTCACTTATCTTTAAAGGACCTACAGTATTTCTGGTCTCTGTTTGGCTAAAAAGATTTTAAAGCATTATGTTTATAAAAAATAGTTCCCAATGTGCCATTTCAAAAGTTCTAGTTTGAGTAAGATTGGCGCATCATAAACTTAACCTGTATTTGAAATAAGATCGTTTGATATACATTTTTGAGTGAAAAGAGCAAGTTATAAAAGAATTCAATATAATCCCCCTTTTGGGAAAAATGTATGCATATACACAATGAAAGTGTCTGGAAAGTTCTACACCAGGGTTTATAACTGAGGCACTGTTGACATTTGGGGTCGGACGACACCTTGTAGCAGAGGCTGTGCAGTGCGTGGCAGGCTGTCTAGCAGTGTCCCTGGTCTCTCCCCACTAGACGCCAGCAGCAGCCTCCCTCTGAGTAGTGACAAACAAAAATGTCTCCAGACACAGCCAAATGTCCCCTGGGGGACAACATTTCCCGTCGTCGAGAGTCATTTCTCTATTCTAATATGTTTACAGTGGTTCAATTCTGGGTGAGAGTATTATGGGTAATGTTTCTTTTCCCCCATTTATTTCTAGTTAGTCTACAATCACTATGTGTATATATGTCTTAATATATGTCTTCTATTAAAAAAAAGCTACTATTCAAATACTCATAATCATAGCATTATTTATTTTAAAAATTATAGGCACATACTTTTGAGCAGTTTTTGAAAAAAAAAACTGTAGGTAGAAGATTTATGGAAGACATAATATGGGGAATTAAAAAGGAAATCGAGAAAAACAGTTCATCTAAGATAACTTAGCAAAAAATTATCTGTAGGATGTGAGGGTGGTAATGCGTGGGCCAGAAGCAATTTGATTTATGACCCAGGTGCTCCCATCCGTGATGATCAGGTCCTCTGTTTAATGTTCTCATTAGGTTTCCCACGCTGGGCAGACTGTGCTCTGGGCTGCACAAATAGTTTTTCTCTGCACTGATTTCCTTGCAGTTGTACTCAGCCTGGGCGCACCAGATCTTTCCCATGTTACAAGCTGCAGGGACAAGTTCATGTCCCTCATTTCCTTTCCAAGGGCAAGATGTAGTACTAGGTTTCACTCACTTAACAGGGGTGGTATTTTCATTCACCAGTTGTTTAAGGTGTGGACATGGAGCCACTAACAGATGTTTTCATGAGGAAAACTTATCTAATGTGGAAGCGGTACATAAAATCCTGGGAATGACCAGTGATAGGATGGATAGTATAATTGTCCTTTGGTACTCATGGGGGGATTGGTTCCAGGACCCCAGAATACAAAAACCCATGATGCTGAAGTCCCTTATATAAAATGGCATAGTAATTGCAGATACCCTACACACATTCTCCTATATACTTTTATTTATTTATTAGAGACAGAATCTTACTCTGTTGCCCAGGCTAGAGTGCAGTGGTGTCATTGTAGTTCATGGCAACCTCAAACCCCTGGGCTCAAATGATCCTCCTGCCTCAGCCTCCCAAGTAGCTAGGACTAGAGGCACATGACACCATGCCAGGCTAATTTTTATTTTTTGTAGCCATGGGATCTCACTATGTTGCCCGGGCTGGTCTCAAACTCCTGGCCTCAAGCAATCCTCCTGCTTTGGCCTCCCAAACAGCTGGAGTTACAGGTGTGAGCCACCCTGCCTGGACTCCCATATACATTAAATCATCTCTAGATTGCTTGTAGTACCTAATTCACTGCCTACACATCACTTCACTGGAGTGGATTCAACACAGTACTTGGTGCGAGGCAAATTCAGTTTCACTTGGTGGAGCTTTGTAGATTTTTTTTTTTTTTTCTGAATAGTTTTGATCCGTAGCTGGCTGAATCTATGGATGCAGAACCTATGAATATGGAGGGCTGACTGTACTTGTCAAAGACAATGAAACTTCAACTTCTCTGCTCCACTTGAATCTCAGCCCTAGAGATGAAACCCGAAGAGGACCAGACAACTACTCCTTGGAGGTGGTAAGGTCTGGCCACAGAAGGAACAGGATGCATGACAGCTGCCTCCCACACAGATACACCACATCTAAGATGTCACCTCCCCCCACAAGCAGTATCTATTATATGCTCATGTTTGAATGTGTATGTATGTGTGTATGTATACATGCAACAAAGTACTGAAGCAGCAAAATTAGAGAAATGCTCAACAATTCTGACATGCTTGGAATGACAGGAGATATAAAAGCAACTCAGAATTAGCTCCCCTTTTACAAAGCTAGAAAGCGTGGTTCAACCACTGAAGGATTTCAATCTTGAAGGCACAAAGTAGGAAGCAAATTACTATTGTACTTTCAGGTAAGAAAAATAAAGTCAGGCAAGCTCTGCCTTTGAATCAAAATAATCGTATCTCTAACTGGCTTTTCTCTTTCTTGGGCTAAACACGTGATCTGGCAGTTAGTGGCAATAATAAACACTTATGGAGCACTTGCTTGGTACCAGGCACCATTCTAAGTGCCTTCCACACTCCCTGTAACCCTCAAAACAACCCTAAGAAAGCTGTTATTTCTATTTGACAGATGAAGACACTGAAGGATGTAGTAGGTTTTCAATTATTAGTTTTTGAATGAAATTAACAAGCCAAATCATCATCAATCATTTTATTTTCCTTTTGGTCTTAATAACAACTCATTCTTTCCCACTCCTGAACTTCTTTTTTGGTTAGTGATATAAATTTGTTCTTCAAAACGGGCAGCATCATATCTATAAAGATTGAGAAGAACAGAACACTCTGATTAATATAATTATGCTCTAAATTAAACCAGTAGATCCAAAACAGTTCAGATTTGTGGACAATTGCAAAAGATCATGACCCCGGAATCCATCTCTCTTACCAGGGTTGTCTGTCTGTGCCAAAAATATAAATAAGGAAATAATGTGGGTATCTGTTTTCCTGAAAGAACATCAGTGGATTATGAGTTCCTGATTAAAACAGATATATATTAAGGCAAAACCATACGAAGTTGCTGTTTCTGCAGATTAAAAACAGCCAACTATCAACAATTTTATATGATTCAACTTAATATTGATTCTATCCCATTTTAATCTGGTGTGACTGGAGAATTTAATTTTCTTAAGTGGTAAAGGAGATGGGAACAGTTGCTGGAATTCAACTAGAAAGGTATTGTTTTATGGTATGCCTTAGTTCCCACAGTAAATTATGTCAAATTTTAATAAACTCTCCCTCACATATTCATTTAACTTATTTCTTTTGTATGTCTTGTGCTTATTTGTTGATTGTAATATTATGTGGACAGAGGATATTCATTTATACATATTCAAAAGAGTCTTTGAGGCACTGCCCATTCAATAGAATATTTAATGTTATAATAGCAACACAGTGCTTCAACTGCTGAACAACTTTCTAGTTTACAGACTATTTAAATATCTCTTTGAAAACACTGTCTAGCAGTAAATGTCTAGAAGTAAATATAATATTCTATTATAAAAGGGTGGCATTTTCTTTCAGATTAATTTTGAGGGATACCAAGAAGCCCTTGCTAAATTTTTGGGAGGACATTTTTCTGACTATAAAATAACAATTTATGTTTATACTCCATAACTACTCATATTAAATTTGGCTTCTTAAAGTAGGCGAAAGTGTGTGAGATCAGGAAGGTCTGTGCCCGATTTATTCACTCTAAACGTGGATTATCATGATTGAAGAGTGAGTTGAAGTCTTTACCTGTGACCAGCTTACCACCGACCTAGTGGCATGAGTATGTGTTAAGTATCTCCTGATTCTCACAATAAGCAAATTCTGAAAAGGTAGTATTTATAAAACCATTATCTTTATGAAATATTTTTTACAATGCTTTATACACACGGTAAATACCCAGAAAATAATTGTACAAGTGTGCTTGTTGGAAAATAATAAACAAAGAGGCCAGAGCAAAAACACCTGAATAAATTCTGCACCCGGCCTGGCAAACATTTATTAACTGCATCCTCTGTATAAGGCAACGGGCCAGCCGCTGCATTCTAGGTGCCCACCACCATGGCGGGAGACCCACGTGCGTGAACCAACCACCTGCAGGCGGCAGGACCAAGCAAGCGCTATGAGCACAGAGAGAAGTGATTCTCACTCACACTGAAAAATCTGAACAAACTTCTTTTATCCCAGGAAGGTGCTTTATTGTCAGGTCCCTCATTTGTTTGCGCTCACAGGCCATGTCACAGGAGGGGTCTGGCAAAGGGAAGTTTTGGCGTTAGTTCTCCATTTGGACATACAACCCCCATTCCTCCATAAATCGCAGGAGATAGGTTTCATTTTCCTCTGGTGGCTTGTCTGTGGCCTGCTCCTCATGGAGTCGGGCTAAAAGGCCCTCCTCCTCCATGTGACAATCTTTCTCAGGATGCTCACAGCCCTCGGCGTCCTGGTCACAGCCAGACAGTGAAGGTATACACAGCCTGCCGGTCCGAGGGTCCCAATCGACCAGTGTCGCCGATGGCTCTTCCTCGGGCCCCGCTTCTGAGTCTGTGTGCTCCTGCGCCTGACGTTGTAAGTCTCTGAGCTCAGGGGTGCCTGAGTGCAGTAACGTCTGTGGGCCCAAGTTTGCCCAGGCTGCCTGTTGCTCGAATAAACTTCCTTGTGTGGAAGCTTCCTCCTGCAGACTGAGCTCTGGATCTTCAGGCCCCACACGAATGTCAGCGGTTCTTATGTCATATTCATACCCAGTGCCTGTTGTATGGGTGGGTATTGTGCTGCTGAGTGAGTCCTGCTGGGAGAGGGAAGTACCTTTGGTGTCTTCCTCACAGTCGCAGAAAATTTCCATCAAATGCGAAGCGTACCCTAAGTGTTCCACCTCCTCTTCCTCCCCTGCCGGCTCCGGGTCCCCACTGGGCTCGGTATCTTTAAGGTTATCCAACGTTACATCACTGCTTTTTTCCAGTAAACCCATATCCTTATGAGAAATTTTAGAATCATCCAAAATATTGAAGGTGATAAAGTTAATCATGATTTTTTCAGCGGGCACAAAGAATCTTTTGTCAAATTCATTTCCATAAATCAAAATCTAAAAAGAGAAAAGAGAATGTTTTTCACCTCTTTACTTCAGAGAGACATTAAAAACAGCGATTAGGTAGAATATGGTGTCCCCAGACAGTTTTAAAGACATCCTCTTACCAACTCTTGAAAATGAAACTTAGGCTTGGAATATACAGAGAAATCTCACTCACTAGGAGGCTGGAAGCTCAAACCCACACAAGGCCCACGGAAGTGCAGAGTGGCTCTCTGGCGGGTATTTCTCAGACCAAGGCTTGGGCTGTGGCTGCCCACTCCTTAGAACGGCTCTCCCACCTGGGCCTTCCGCCCGCTCTCACCGGAGCCTCACGCTGCAGCAGGGTCAAGCAGTTCCACCCACCGCTGCCCTGCTGTTTCTTCTGACTGCGCCAAGTGTCCTGGCTCCTACTCACCTCCCCTTACCAAGCCCTGGCATGAGAGCTGAGCCCCCATGCAGGGGGTCAGGACCCTCCTGTACCCCCAGAGGCCCCAGTGCCTGCTCTCATCTTAGCCTTCATGTATTACTTAGAAATTCTAGTCCCTGACTACACGTGCACTTCTAGAAGATCATTAAATAAAATCTTTTCAAAGCTATGGAATATTTATCTTCGAATGTGTTAGTGAGCCAATCCAGAAAGTGTTTTATAATTTATCAACTATTTAAATTCACTCTTCCCTTAACTGGAACTGTATCTGTTCTATAGCCTTCTTTTCTATTCTCCTGCAAGTGTGTTATAATATGAATATAAATATAATATGATATAATATAATATAATATAGACTCCTGCCACCAAGAACTCACCAAATTTGCTGGGTGTTTCTCTTTGCCGACGTGAATGTATCGGTAGATGGAATAGCCCATCACAGAAAAAAGAAAAACGGTGACAGATATTGGCAAAACATACCAGAAGATGATTTTAACCTTGAACTCTGAAGATTGATCTGTAAAAAAAAAGGGGGGAGGTGGTTTGGAGAATTGTGATTTGGTGTGGTGGGAGAAAACTGGCTTTGGGCAGATCACTTAGATTTAGGAACTCAAGTTTTCTCACCTGTATGTTGAGAAGCTTAAGCTAAATGTTATAAGGGGTCTCCCAATTCTTACTCTCTCTGACAGTACATGGTCTCTTTTTTTTTTTTCAAGTGAGATAACTCACCTCACTATCTTTGGACCAGCCTTTAGATGGTCTTAGGGAATCATCTGGATGTACCTTAAACCCTTATAGTAAGGATACATCAACGATCCAAGTCAGCAGGTGTGCCAGCATTTTATGTCTGGCTCTGAGATCCATGGGGGTTCGGCTATTTGAAGGGTGTCTGATATTCGGGGAACTCATGGCACTTCTAACCAAACAACAAAACCCTCTTGTGCAGATCCCACTTTTCCACACCATTCATTTCACTCAATCTTCCCCATACATTCCATGGGGGACATGAATGCGTGGCATCACCTTTTATATGAATAACAAATCATTCTTGCACTGGTTGGCCAGATTTTCTATGTAGGGCTGGAGCTTGGGAGTGGGGTGTGGGGAGGTAGCTGGACTGGGTATGCTGAGAATAGCAGTTAACTCTCTCCCTGGTGCTGTGCTATAGATTCATGCTGGGCAAAAGTCCACAGAGAAATGGAAAGACTTGGGGAAAAGGTTTTAAGAGATGCAGGCCTGGCCCACCATTGATCTGACTATATAGCTGATGACTAGAGCTCATTGTCACTAACTTATGTTTGTTAAGCCACTATGGTGTGCTTGGAAGTTGTGATGCTTAATCTTATGTGTCAACTTGGCTAGGCCACAGTATCCAGATATTTGGCCAAATATTACTCAAGATGTTTCTGCGAAGGTATTTTTTTAGATGAGATTAACATTTAAATCAGTAGATTTTGAGTCAAGCAGATTATCATCTATAACATGTGTGGGCTTCAGCTAAGCAATTGAAGACTTTAATACTACTAATAATAAGACTGATGACCCTGAGGGACAGGGAGTTCTGCCAGCAGACTGCCTTTGGACAAAACTGCAACATCAGTTCTTCCCTGGGTCTCTGGCCTGCACAAATTTTGGACTTGCCAGCCTCCACAATCCTGTGAGCCAACTTAAAATGAACAAATCTCTCTCTCTCCCAAATAATATATAGAACCAATAGGAGATCTATATCTATCTATTTCTATATATCCATAGATATACATAGGTTCTGTTTCTCTAGAGAATACTAATGCAGAAGTAGAAAAAGGAACAGCTTCAGCACAAATGACAAAAGTCCTAGTGTATTCCTTACACATCAATAAAACCAGCAAGAGAGCAACAGAAGCATTCTACTTCATGTGGATGTTGGATGCTCTTGATGCCTGGCCTGAGGGAAGGCAGCTAAGTCCCTGTCGAGCTAACTATCCAGTTAAAGACTGAAAGCAGATGTGTCATGGACGATGAGGGCAGGCAACAAGAGCTAGTAGGAAAAGTCCAGCGTGGGGGCCAGCCGCCGGCTCGGTGACCCTGAACAATTCCGGAAGAGCACATTTGTCGTCAGGTTCCGTGCAGGGATGTGCCAACGCTGCAAAGTGGACACTGCAGCTGCCTGAGCACCACCTGCCTCCACTTTAGGCTGCAACGCACTCCAGCCCCTTTAGTGCAGTCCCTGGTCCCTGAATTGAGCTTGTTCTAATTAAAGAGTCGCAATAATAAACCTGGTAAACTGTATCTGGGTTTTAGGGATTGGAGGACTATGGAGAATATTCTTGGAAATGTTTTCCAAGAATAGTCTCAAGAGAGGTAAAACTGATTTTTCAGAAAGTGGCCCTCATGCCAGTGTGCTGGAGAGGTATGTTTGGTGATCCAACAGCTGGGATATCAGGGGAAAGTTCAGAACCAGAAATGGCGCCTCGTTATTTTGTTGCTTTGCCTATACTAGTGAGAAGTGGGCTCTGTCTGCTTACTGGGAAGTATTTAATTTAATCGGTGCTTTCGTTGCTTTTGCTCTGCCAACTAACTGCCTCAATGATTTCCACTGGAAATTCATTCCTACCAGTTGGCACTGATCAAGTTGTTAGTAAATAGAGCACCTTTCCAAAATACAAAAATGATTTCTTCCATCTGCTTTGTTTTGCTTGGCATTTGAGTTTCATTTGACATATGGCAGAGAAACCCTTCAGTCTAAAAGAAAAGGTATGATAAAGACAGATTCGAAAACAAAGCCCTGCACTTTTCACATGTACTTACAATGTGCCCTGTCTTGTCCTTGGGGTAGCTGCATCTGGAAAGGTGGGGGTGGGGGAGGTGAGGGAAGAGGGAAGCGGGGTTGTGCATTCCTATTCGTGGCTGGTGATAGGACCCAGGCGTGGGGTGAAGGGTGGTGAGAATCTGTCTCTAGTCCAGCATGTTTGGACGAGAAGCAAAGAATAATGGGTAAAGACCCCTTGGATGCAGGCGAACGTTAGGATTTATTTTCTCTCGACGTTCAGGTTTTGAGTTCAAGCTCCTCTCTGCCTGGGAGAAGACAGATTAAACAAATGCCAAGCTCACACCTCTACGTCTCCTAATGGCAACGAGTATCTTCAACCATGGTTTCCGGCTGCTCAGTTCAGAAAGCGTGAGGAGGAGACGAAGGAAGGAAGGAGAGAGAAGCAACTGAGAAGCAACTGTGAGTGGAAAGGAGTGACCACAGATTCGCCGATGCCAGGCTCTCACGCAGCCAGTGGCATCTGAACGCAGCTGGAAGAGCCTGGAATTAGGATTCCCAAGGGTGGGGGGTGGCAAAAAAATTTCTGTTTCACGGTGTTTTTAGGATAATGCTTTGCTTCCAGCAGTAAAACTGTCTGATGTTCTTGAAGACCACAGAACTTCTATTGATCCGAATGATTATGACTTTAAAAAAGAAAAAAGATGTGTAAAATTTCTTGTTATTTCACAAGGTGGCCAAACGACTCTGGGAGGGAGGATTGTTGGCCGTGGACTCCGGGACCCGTACTGACCGTGCTCCAGGGGGTGAGAACAGTCCGATCACCCGCCAGGCTCCGTGGCAGAGTCTGGTGAGGGTTGTTTCTGCCTGTGCCTCAACCTGTTCCTATTAGACATGTATTTGGCAAAACCTTAAGTCTAAACTGTCACACTTCTTTCTAGTTTTAGTAGATTTCCTTCCTCAGACGGGCTGAGTTTTTAAGCTTACCTTTCAAAGTCCTGACACACTGCTTCTCAGAAGGCCGAGCTGGGCGAGGGGGCCCGGGGACGAAGGACGCCACGTGGACGCAGTACAGAGTGTTCGGCTCCAGCCAGGTGAGCACCAGCGTGTGGTTGGTCACACACTGGGACCACTAGGACGGGGAATTGCAAACAGTGGTTACAGCCAAAGATTTCTGGGACCACCCCAGACAAATAACTCTAGAAAAAAATAAAAGACTGAGATGCCATTTAATCCTTTACTGTCACTATAAGCCTTTCCCCCCTCACCCCAGCAACCGTTTCAATACACCCTTCTTCTTTAGCTCAGCAGGGCACAGCCAGGAACTGCACCGATCCCCAATTCTCAAAAAAACACAGGGATGGATTTTTTTTTATTCAACTTTGTCCTGTGTTTTTGCTAACATTTTTTTCTTCTAGGAGAGCGACGATGGACAGACGTTATGCAAGTAAAAGCTCTCCGTCAAAGTGAAGCGCACAATCGCTCTACAGTCCAGCAGCAACGTCACAGTATTTAAGAGAGTTTCTATAAGGAAAATCTGAAGTCAGTTCTGTAAATTTTCTACATTTCAGCTTCAAGGGTATCTGTATGGCATCTCTTTTGAACATCACATCTTCCCTGATTCACAGGCAGAGACTCAAAGCATCAAGGCTGTTTGTTTTAGCATTAGCTATGAAAAGTAGTACGTATATTATACATTCCATTCCATTTCGTGCTTACCATTCTATTTGATTTAGTATTACATATGGACACGTTATACTTCAGATTGGAGTAGATTTGTTGCATGGAAACAGAACTGTCTTCTGGATTTCTCTTCCACTTCTCTGGGGCCGTCAGGACGATAGAAATGGACTTCTCCTCGGTAGTCAGAGCAACCTCTGGTGGCCCGATTTGTGCTTGAACGGGAGGAGAGAGGGTATTATTACATTCACATGTAAAAATCACCTTAGATGAAGCTATAATAGAATACTACTTGGTTCAAAGCCCTAAAACCTACCCTCTCACACAAGCTGCCTCGAAATGTACCTTGGTGGGCCTGGATTATGCCAAATCTTGACCTAATCATTTCATACACCCTAATGCAATGTTAAAACAGCCAACAAGAGTGTTGCATTTACTTAGTCACATGGATAAACAGGACCTGATGATGGTAAATACAATCAAAACTGTTTGTGACTTGAAAAGTTGGTGATAAATAACATTAACATGATATGTTAAGTGGAAAAATCAGAGATGAGATTAGAATGATCCAGAACTGATGTCAGCGAACTTTTATTATAGAGGTCCAGACAGTAAATACTTTAGGCTTTGCAGGTCAAATGATCTCTGTTGCAAGTACTCTACTCTGGTTGTAGCACAAATGTAGTCATAGATAACTATATAAAACGAACGAGTGTGGTTTGTGTTCCAATAAAACTTTATGAATAGGCACCAAAATTTGAATTTCCTGTACTTTTCACATGTCACAAAATATTCTTATTCTGATTTTTTAAACAAAAGTATTTAAAATATAAATACCATTCTTAGCTCTTGGCCTGTAGGAAAACAGAAATGGGGGTGGGGAGGGGCTGGATTTGGCCCAAGGGCTGTAGTTCTCTGACCTTGATCTGGAAGAGCTCCAGGGCCTATGGAGCATTTGTAGAGTTCATTATGGTGGCCCTGAGTGGGTCCCTCATGGCTGAGTTAGCCACAGATCAGAGGATGGCAAAATTATAAAAGCATATACCAGGAAGATATTGCCTTAATTCTGGTTATACCTAGAAATCACCTCATTGCGCTACGAAGTTTATAGCAAGAAGAGTCTTAGTTGGGTGATCAGGACAATCTTTAATCAATCTTATAGACACATGTCAATGGTTTAAAGCCCACAACATTTAAAAGAAAATCTTTTGGCTGTTCCTCAAATTACAGAGACTCCAACAAATAGTAAAACAAAATCAAAATGTGAAATTATTGGCATCTAGCATCAATTTGGGATCTGGGAAAGATCTTAGAGATCATTTGCCCAAACCTTTTGGTCTAAAGATGAGACTGTGAGAACCAGCAAGGTGAAGCATCTTGGCCTGGTCACTCAACCTGCTGGTGCAGAATAGAGCAAGCAAAGACTTTCTTCTGGGACAAGGTTGTCTACGAGCCTGAGACTGTTAAATCAGGAGGTGAGGTTAACTTGATATTAAAACATGTTTAACAATTGTGACAGATGCATTACTTACTTTCTAAAAAAGGATAGAATCGTCCAGTTTCAGCCCATTTGGAGCAATTTGCTTCCCAAATGGCCTTAACTTTGGCATAATATTGGTGCTCATAGTCGGAAGTTTCAGCAGAAAGATCACAGTAGGTCCTACTGATATTGCTGCATTCAGATTTATTCAGCCATTTCTTTTGCCCATATCTGTTAGGAAGGAAACTTGGAATTAATAATGAGATGCCCTCTCTACTTTACAATTAAAAAAAACCTCCCAGTCATTATACAAAACTGAATGGAACTGAAGACCTTCTCTTCAGAAAAACAAAAGTGCCTGTCATTGAGATAAAAAAGAATCCATTTTTGCTGCTGGCAATTTTTTTTCATTAGCTGTCAGGAACATGAGTCAGAGTTTCTGTAATCACCTTTCTTTTCTGTGAATTATAATGTGGATAGTACATTCTAAAAGCATGCATTTTATTTTAATTCTTTGGCTACAGTACAATTTTTACATATTGTGTGATCCATTCTTCCAGTAATCATCTATGTAAGTTTATAGTCCACCCTGTATATGAGGTCTGTTTGATGTGTTGTTTTAGGAATCATTAGTCATTTTTTTTCTTGGAAGAAAAATTATCTTGACACTTTCTTAAAATTTAAAAATTTGCTAGGCATCAAAAATTCTGGGGAATAGTCATGAGGTTGGAGTGCCTACAAAAACCTACATTTTCAATAGTTACAATGAGGATGATGATGAAGATGATGATGGTAATGATGATATCGATTAGGTTTTTCACATTGATTTTCTTTTTCTTTATTAAAAACACAACACCCAGAGAGAACAGGAGGAAGGAAATATTTTTAGCCCTTTTCAGGTGGGAGAGACTCAGGTGTAGAGTTTGGGTGACACAAGATGAGACAGTGAAAGAGACAGAGCTGTGTGGGAGGCTACTGAAGGGATTAAGGTAGGGTGTTGGGGGACAAGATGAGAGGCATGTCTCAGGAAGCTAACTCTGGAGGGGGTGTGGAGAAGGTGACAGGGTTAGAAGAGGCAGCGTGGGATGAGCAGTTGAGAGGATACTGCAGTGGTCCAAGGGAAGGTGTAAGTGGTTTGGTTGGACAAGGATCGTAACAGTAGAATCCATGAGGACAAGACAAAAGCAAGAACTATTAGGAGATAGGGGCTGGGTACCATGGCTCATACCTGTAATCCTAGCATTCTGGGAGGCTGAGGTGGGAGGATTGCTTGAGCTCAGGAGTTCAAGACCAGCTTGAGCCTTGAGCAAGAGTGAGATCTTGTCTCTACTAAAAACAGAAAGAATTAGCTGGTCATGGTACCACATGCCTGTACTCCTAGCTAAACTCAGGAGGCAGAGGCAGGAGGATTGCTTGAGCCCTGGACTTTGAGGTTGGTGTGAACTAGGCTGACGTCATGGCACTCTAGCCCAGGCGACAGAGCGAGACTGTCTCAATCAATAAATAAATAATTTTTAAAAAATAAAAAAAAATAAAAAACAAGAACAATTAGGAGATAGGACTTGGTGACTGAGTGCATGCAGAAGAGTAGAGAAATGAAAGTGTTAAGGATGATGTCTTTTTCTGTCTGGGGTAGATGAGTAGAACAGTAGTAACACTTTCCAAGACAAGGAACACTGAGGAGGAGCAGATCTGGGAATGTGCTGAGGTATGCATGAGATACCCAAGTCCACATGCCCAGCAGGCAGTGGGGCTCAGGACAACGACATAAAACTGCTCATTGAAGGCACACGCATGAATGAATCCTCCATGGAGACCCAGCAATGTCTAGGATAAAAATTCAGGGGCACCAAGATTTAAAGGTTGGATACAAAGTAGACCTGGAAGTAGCAGCTAAAGAGAGAAGAGGAAAAACATGTATCACAAAAGTCACGGGAAGAGTATGACTCCTCTTGAGGAGGAGGATATGTCAACTTTTACAAGCATTGCCAAAGCTTCAGAATATAGCAACACATTTCTGAAAGTAAATGTCTCCTGTTTCATAGGTACCATACCTACTAAAAGACATTAGAAATACAGTCGGATCTTGTTGACCAACTGCTCCATGTGAGTGGTTTTCAAATTTTTTGAAACTGCTTGGGGGTTTTCAAAATATTTTTTGACCATGATCCATGCAGGAAAAAACATACTTTACATTGTGATTCAGTTCATAAAAGATATATATCTAACATACTAAAACAAAAGTCTTACAAGATACTATTTAAACTTTACTACATACCATGTATTCAGTTATTTTCCATTCCACTTTACACCACTCCATTCCTTTCCATTAAAAATAATGCTAGCTATGTCTCTCAAAATTGATTTCATAACCTATCAACAGGTCTTGACTTGTGGTTTGAAAATATTGCCATTGCCTGTGTGACCCTCCCTCCTCGAACTTCCTCACTCTGCCAAGGGCAGGGCAGCTTCCCATGGCAGATGCTGATGAAGGAGAAAGTGCTCTTTACCGAACTCTGAACAAAATAAATGATGACCAGGATCATTCAACAAATATTTCAGTAACGATGCTCATGCATGGCAAAAAAAGTCATGTGGGAGCCCTCTTCATTATCATAACTACCCTAGGAGGTAGGTGGCATTATTTTCATCCCATTTTACAGATGAGGAAACTGAGGAATTAAGTCCACATGACTAATAAAGTCCACATGACTAATAAAAGTCCACTCAAGTCCACATGACTAATAAAAGGTATATATCTGGGATGTGAATAACTTTTCCCTGATGACAAAGCTTGTGATTTTAGTGCTACATTCTATTTCCTGCATTCAATTCTTTTGGTGGATATAATTTAAACTTTTGTTAAATTTTCATCTTGGAAACAAACTTCACACAAAAGTGTAAAAGCATAAGATGTTGTTACCTGCTCAGCCTGGCTATGACCTGGGGACTGACTGTCTGATGCCAGAGCTGAGCTTGGAGCCCTCTGGCAGTGGAACACGTCACGCTCTGTTCCTGTCCACATTCCACATGCACGGGCGTGTAAGAACTCTGACATACGTAGCAAGCTTCTTTTTAAGTACACAGTTTTGAAATGTGCACAGTATAAGTTATCTGCTCTCACAGAGCAGTGAAGACTCTGCCTATTTCTGTAAATTCCTTTTTGAATCACAGACAAATATAAAGGACAGAGCAAGCTCTTTGCTCCACCTAATGGAAAAGCAGGCAAGGGCACGCTCACGAGCCATTTCTGCAGAGCGACATCTTTCCTGTAACACCAGCTCTTGACAAACCCCTAGAAAGGAGAGTGAGGTTCTAGATAAACGAAATTGCTGTGAATAGTTGCTGAAGTCTCTCACTGGCTTTCGTGGGAGAATTTTTTTTTTACAAAGACAAACATGACTTGATTCTTTTTTGTAAATATAGTAAATGTTTTTTAATCCAAACAATTGAACAATGTGGAAAAGTATAATCAAAAGAGAAATAAATCACCCTAAATCCCATTACCCTGAAACATTTGGTATATGATTCTGGACATCTTGTCATGCTTATTTATAAAACAGAAGAATGATTAGATAGCAGCATAGACAAAAATTAAATTATATTGTACATATAGTTTCAACAAAAG